AAACCATTAGAAAGTTATGTGGTGCTTTACAGGTTGACCCTGGCAATGAATGTGCTAGAATCTTTGGTACTGGTTTATAGTAAATCAGGTACATTCTTTCTAAAGTAAAATCCTTTTTCAGTTAATCAATATTATATATGCTGTTCTTTCTGACACAAACCCCAGGGCTGATCTGACTGCCATTCATGGCTATACATCTGCCATGAAGTCTCACAATAAACTACACTATATATAATTCTAGATCTGAGTATCTATGTCTTCGGTATTACATAGGTTTGGAGATGGCACTCATTGGCTCTAGCTTACTATCAGTCTGTTCTGAAACAATGGACGTAGTTTCCTTTTCCATTAAATCCAGAAAATATCTGGCCCTATCTTATCGCTGGGATTTTATAAAAGGACCACCATAATAACTATTCTTTATGGAATCAACATATTAGTAGATAAACCGAGCTTAGGTCATGTACAAAGTCAGTTGTAAATAATAAAATTTTCAAAATGGGGATAACTTTTGATTTTATGTTCAAATTGTAAGTTTTATAACTACTGATTTTCAAAAATTGAAAAGCAAATATTTTCCAACTTTATTTCCACTTACTTAAAATTGTTCAAGAGGATCAACAACAAAAATACTGGAGTCTATAATTATTAGCACATAGCTAATTAGTATGCCCCATTTCATTCTTCAGCTTTCAGTCTTCTATTTGTTTCTAAAGGGCTACAATAATTACTTCAATCCTTATTATGTTAACACATAATATTGTTTTAGAGAAATATATTTATTAAATATATTTATTAAATATATTATATTATTATTAAATATTTAAAATGATGGGCATGGGTCCCAACAGACATTGTATGACTCAATTTGAAACACCCATGATGAAGGTAAACCATGAAGTGGTTTATAGCATTTGTGGTTTGGACTCCTTAACTTAGTCACAATGAAAGTCATGGAAAGCATAAGGCAGAATCTGAGGGCTCGACACACTGCAATGGGACCTCAAATGTGCTTAGCCAACCACCCTTTATGTAAATCATCAGGCGACTGTACTTCACTAGGTCAAGGTCACTTGTTCATCAAGATCTGCTTTCATGACAACCACTACTTTCAAAGAAGTAAAGGAATTTCCCTATATTGAAAGGTCCAGGTATACTAAATGTCTAAAGAAAAATATATATAGTCTCATAGCACCATATTTACTTTATATGATGTACATGCATCATCTGTAGTAGTGAAAGTCCTTTCCTATCACTAAACTTCTTCTGAGATTTTTAAAATTTTGCTGTATTTGAAAGTCTTCTAGTGTGTCTATTTCTATTATTCTTCTACAGTGTTATTTTGCTTCCTGATAATGCAGTGTATCAAAAACAATGACTTTTTCAATGCATTGGAAAATGTTAGAGAGCCACTTTGTTTGCTCTACCTGCTAAACTTTCTTAATAAAGTCAACAAAAAGCTTTCAAAAGTAGACCTTACAGTAGCAAATGCCAATGTAGACCTGATAAATGCAGTGAACGACTTGCCTGATATAGCAAGCATTTCACCTAAATTGACTAGGTGGGGTTTTGATTCATTGTTCAGGTACACTGAACAGAATCTGTTCTCTTGCTCCCATCCTTTGTAGGCTGACACTCCCTTTATCTAGGGGCTTATAAAAAACCAAGCTATATTCAATTCTCTAAAGGCAGATGCGCTCTCTGGTATCCTAGAAACAATTCTAAGTATGCTTTGCAGAAAGACCCGAGGTTCAAGCCAGTGATACAAATGTTTATTAGTGTGCTATCACACAAACACAGGTCTGGAAATTTTTAACAAAATCTGCTCTAAGGACATGTATCAAATTATTAGTAAGGGGGTGATTAAAAGAGATAAAGAGAGCAGTTCATAAGAAAAGTAGGTACCACAGAAATTAAACAAAATTATACATTACCTCTGTACTACTGAGATTGGGATTCATATTAGACATTTCTTACAAATGAGACTGGTAAATTTCACTTAAAATTGCACACATTATCTCAATTACAACAGATCTACAAAAGCAACTTCCTAGACTATAGATAGATGAGGAGGAACTTATCAACCATTTTAGGATTAGATTTTTATGCACATAATAGCTGCAGAAATTAATCTATATTAACTTATTATATCACAACAGCTATCATTAAATAATATGAGGTAGAAAAATTTTCTAAGTGTTCCCTGGGGTCTTCTATGTAATACTTATATAATGTAACATGCCATAAAATAAATTGTACTCTGGTGAAACATACCAGTTAGCTTCTGAAGCCTGAGATCTGAAATTACCCCCACTGAAGAATAGAGGATATATAGCCTATTATCACACACATGGAGAATCATATTAGTAAGCACAACAAAAGAACTTTCAAAATTCAATGAATGGCTTTCCTTTAAAAAGCCACTCCCTACTTGCCCAGTAGGAGCCACTTTAACCATTAGTACAGTTGAAAGAGAGAGGGTCTCATAGGCTGAATAGAAAGAATATATTTGTTCTTTTTGTCCCTTTGGTTTTTGAAACAGAGTTTCTCTGTGTAACCCTGGCTGTCCTGGAACTAACTCTGTAGACCAGGCTGGCCTCAAACTCAGAGATCCATCTGCCTCTGCCTCCCGAGTGCTGTGATTAAAGGCATGTACCACCACCACCCAGCTGTCTTTCTTCCTTTCTTATTACTCCTATCAGGCCTCTCTGATCCCATGAAACAGGGTATTTGACTGGTGCTTTGAAGCTGTATCTTGATCTTTGAAAAAATGTCTGCTCTGGGCACTATAGGACATGGTGGGCTCAAGTGCAAGTAAAATCTTGCACCATTTCTTGCTCGTTCCCATAAGATGCTGAGAATAGTATTGGCAAATTAAATATTTCTTTGTCATAGTCAAGCTTTGACCACCATCCCCACCCAAAGTCTCTACCAATAATCTATTCTCTATTCCTATGAGTTCAACACTTTTGAGATTCTACATATAAGTGAAATCATGTAGTATTTATTATTCTCTATCTGATCTGTCCCACATGGTTTAATGTAATATCCTTCAGGTTAATCCACGTTGCCTCATTTTATTAATAAAGCATATATGTATTATATGTATAAATCATCATATACCTTAAGTAGATATACTTTGTCAATTTTACCACAATGAAGTGGAAAATGGTAAACATTCCTTTTGTTTATTCTTGTGTACTCACATCTTCTAGGGTCACAAACATGTCTACTTTGCTGTGAACATTATTGCCAGTATCCTCCCATACAGGGAGTAGGGAGGAACTGTGATTCTTCAGCACATACAATTCTGCAAGAGTTCAACAAGAACTTTGACCATGTAAAGTATTACTGAAGGTCAAATGAACTCTAAAGAGTGCAATGGTTACCTGAGGATTAGTTGATCAACATAATTATTAGCACTGTGTTTGAAGGCAAACATATTTGGCAAACTGATGGTGAGGAATATGAAATTTAACCTACCTTACTCTGTCTGGATATTCTGGAAACAGTATCATAAAGAAAAACATGAAGTACTTGATAGCCTCCTGTGGTTGGACTTATTTAAACAGATATGCTAGTTAGAGGACCATGTCAACATGCTACTCCTTGAAATCTGAGAATCAATTTTGTAATGAGATAAGCTTTACTGAGAGCAGATTGTCCCATGACCATATTTTCACTGCATCTAAATGCTACAGACAACTTTCAATGTTCAGGCACAGTCACTGATGAATGGGTAACAAAGGAAGCACAGTCCTTTCAAATTGGTCTTGTTAATGGTTAAAAGGAAGCATGCTAGCTAGAATTTGAATGAGAAACCACTGAGTTAAACAGGAGACGTGAAGAACTATAGCAGAGAGGGGGCAATTTCCATTGCCAGACTAAAACACAGATTTATAATTTAAGGTGTCAGGACAAGATTAATTCTCATAAGCATAATATGAATAAATGGAGTTTAGTTACATTTTTGAATGTTAAACTCATAGGAAATAGGAAAGAAATTGAGAAATTGTCAGACACCATAGGACAAAAAAGGAACAATTCAAATATATGTACCATGCTACCTACTAGATTGAAAACTGAAATAGGAAGAACACATTAATGGAAAATTTAGTGAAATCAGAGTATATATAACGATATTTAACTACCAGCTTGTTGAGTCTGATACATCTATAATGGTAATATATTAACTGTGTGTGGGAGGAATACAGCACAGTAGTATTATTTCTGTATAGCATGCACAAGGTCTTAGATTTCATTACCCTCACTGTTGGAGATCAAAGTGTAAAGTTAGATGTACAGCTCAGTAGTAGAGCTATTGCCTAGCATGTCCAAATCCCCGAGTTCAATCTCTGGCACCTCACAAAAATAAGAAAGAAAGAAGTCTGGGTAAGAAATAAAATACAACTGGAGTTCCATGTTTTGCTTTGAGAGTTTTCTAAATCTAAAATTATTTTAAAAGAGAATTTATTTAAAAGTAATCACAAAACTAGGCATTGTGGCACATGCTTATGCATCCCAGTGTTTGTTTGAGCTTAGGCAGGAGGATTTTGTGGTTGAGGCCATAGGGAAACTTCACCTCAAAACCAACAACAAGCAACAAACAACAAAATTACCAAATAAGAGAAATTTGTTTGAAATAATATTCTACAAGTCAAAGGTTTCATTGTAATAATTATTCATATATATACACACACATATATATGAATGAAATCCAAACTCTCTATAAATGTGACCGAATTTTTAATCCAACATACCTGACTGCTTCCTTCATATGAACAGCTCTGAACTGTTAATTAGCACACACGTATTGTCCTAAATTTTGTGGCACTTAACTTACCAAAGGCTTTGCAGAGGTATTCCAATGTAAGCATATATGCTTGGACAACAGACATGGAGCTGGTGAGTAGCAGCACCTAGCCTTAGGAAAACAGTCATAGAGCAACCAGGATACCCCTCATGCACTAGAAGTTTTCAGACACTCTGCTATAACTTACAAGGGATGACATCTGAGCATTTTGGAGCATAAGCTGCATCTGCTGGGCGAACATGGCTGCGGCAGTCTTCTGTTGAATCAGATTGTTCTTCCCATTAATTTCCAGCTGCGACTTTAAGTGAGGTGGAGGGTGTAGGTACTTGCAGTTCTCTCGAGTGCACCGACCCTTTCAGCAGAAATTTAGACAAACTTTTGTTTAGTACTTCTGAAATTCTGAAATAACTAAAGAAATAATAGAATCTTTGTGAACTCGTAGGAGCCAACCGTCACAAGCACTATCCATGAAGTCACTCCTTTACTTTTCCTACCAGCTCTGCAAAACTGCTACTCTTAAATCTTCATCTCCCAGCTGAAGAAACTGAGATGAGAAGAAATGAAGTGACTTGCCTAAGGGCATATAGGTGCTAAAATGAACAGGAATGAAAATCTAGTTGGGCTGACTCCAGAACTCCCTTAGTTGCTCTGTTTTGCTCTACTTTGATATGCATCATATTGTATTTAGACCATAAAGTATTAGGAAGGGTATGTCATAAAATGTAAGTAGAAATTAAAACGTTAAATAAAAAGCTTTCAACTGCAGATGTAAAATCATTTATTTAAAACTTGGGATCTGGATCCATATGTACAACCAATTAAGAAAATTCAGGGAGGATATTTAAGAATCACATACAAATATATAAATTCTGGACTCTATTACCTGAGACATTCTAGGCTCCAAAGCTTTTTATTTCCTCAAAGTTATATGATGTGAAAGATATCCTTGAATTCAATGAGGTTTTGATAATCTGAGAATAAATCTGTATGCCTGGCAGTTACATTGCTATTCAGGTTCTAGCAGCAATGTCCTTAGGTCATTTAGATACTTGGAACTGAAGTATATCTTGGATTCTCATCAATGTTTTATTCATAGTTTAAACACTTTTAAGAAAGGCTAATATTTTAATTCCATTAAGCCATGCATAGTGGCTCATGTCTGTGTTCCCAGCATTGTGGAGACAGAGGGAGCAGGACTACCATGAATTTAGGTTAACTTAGGCTACAGAATGAAGCCCATTTCAAAAAAATCAAATGCAAACCCCCCACATGCCTTTGATGTCACCTAAATGCTGACTCAGCTGCCAATTATGTGGTAGCAAAGAGTGTTACTGGACAAGTTGTTTATTACAATGTCTTAATATAACCAACCAGTGTATTCAGCTATGGCCCTTACATGAAGCAACTAACAGCTATCCCTGTTTGGTTTACTAAATCCACCATAAGCCTTTTAAGATAAGCACAACTTCAAGTAAAACATTTTCCCACAGATGTTGATGCTTTACAGCGCATGAAGTTATTTGAGAAGGAAGATGAACGGAGAAAAAAATGCAACCTTTTCATTTTGGACTCAAGAATGCAAGTTGCTAGGCTACCTGAATTCCCAGGAGAAAAATGGGTTAGTTCACCAAGAGTTTTCATTCAACAGATCCTATGCATTTTACTTATTTGAGATACCTAAATGGTATATGCATTCACTTATTCATATTTCAGTATCTTTCTATGAAGACAATTCTACAATTTCACTGAGAAACACAGTGTGCACTTCAAAATGTTTACCAAGCTACATATAATGCAAATTTGAATTCATTGTAACTGCACTTTTCTTGAAGAGTCCTCATTAATTCCAAGATGCACTTGCATGGTAATTACACATATTCATGAGGTAGAGTATAACTTAAAACCTAGTGTGAAAAATTGAAAGTAAACTTATTGCTTTCTGTCATTGCTCTTTTTTGTTTCTTCCACTCATAAATTTATTTTAAGCAAATTAAAATAATTTATAAAAATCTAATAATATCCTGACTTCAAATATATCTTTATATTTTACTGTTAAATCCTGGAAAATGAAAAAATTATACACACTGAGAGTTGGAAATGTTATTAAGCTGATTCTCCTGAATTCATCCAAGTAGCTTAGGAAAACCTATACAACTCCAACACATACAAGAACTGTAAGGAACTTTTCACCCACACTAACAACCCCAGGAGCCTTTTTCCAAGAAAGCCATAAACATCAGTTTACATCTACTGTGCCTCTCTTAAAGGCTATGACAGTCATGGGGATTACAGTGCCTAGATCCTTCACCCTCCAGCAGCATAACTAAAGTTACCTGGCTCAAAAATCCAAAGCCTAGAAGATATATAGTATTTGGTGACTTCTTTCATGGCATGGCAGTTTATGCTTCCACTTCAGCCTTCCTGCCACTCCTTTCAGATCCCAACAGCAAAGATTTCCCTAAGGCTCAGGCCTAAGCCCTGTCCTCTTTTCTCATACCATTTCCCCCAGAGAAATGGAATTGTTCCAAAGATGCAGGCAGCCCTGTAATTGTCCAGATCTTAAATCTCTATCTCTGACCTCTCTTCTGAATTTCAGTTCTTTTTATCTGCAGCTGCAGCTGCATTTGGGACTCCTGCCCTCTAACCAGGTGGAAATACCTTACTCCTGACCTTTGCCTATCTTTCATCTTGCTGCAGACTCACAGTCAGGGACATTGCATCAATCCCTATGGTTTGGGGCAGTGAGGAAAAGAAATCAGGCAGCTGCTGAGCAGAACTGCCTTGGGTTGCAAAGCCTAGATAGCTTAAGAAAATTAGAAGTATGTAACTATGGAATATGATTTGAAACCCCTCTGCGAAAGAGAAAAACCATAAATACATCCAGAATTCCAAACAATAGAATGCCTTTTAGAGGGAGAGAAAGGGGGCTAACTGGGATTTTAGTATGTGCTAAAAGTTACAGAATTCTAACATCAACATTTACTGTAATAGAAGAAAGAGAAAGAATGAATGAAGGAAGTACTGTGTATCTGGCACATTTTCTGCCAACCTAGAGAGAAAAAAAATTGAAAATTCCTTTATGATTTTATATTACTGTCCATTTCAATAGTAGCTTTCCTTAAGGTTCTTTTTTCAGAAACTAATGGGATTTTTACAAAGCTGAAACAGTACACAGAAATCGAGGAGAGAAAAAAAGAAAATTACATCAAGTTGGGCTATAAAACCAAAGCATTGGATATGAGGCACCACAAAGTAAAACAAAACAAGAACTTACTCATCTTAGTTATGAGATTTTACTTGATTTATAAAGCATTCTTTTGAATGACAGACTCCAAAATTTAATTTTATACCAATGCAAATGCACAGCAATACCACTTTACCAGAGACTGCTGCTTGTGTTTTTAAAAAAATCTTATAAAATAAAAAAAAAATCTACATTTTCTATACAAACAATAGATGAAGAGACCATGTAATTTAATATCTATGTTATATGTGATATACACTGGTATAAATGAAAACCAAGCCCCTCATATATTATTTTTAAAACTCACTTTAGGACTCAGGGTAATGTGTTTATATGTAGCACATTTGTTGATAAGGTTCATTCTTCAAGAACCCCAAATTTAGTTACAGGCTTAAATATTTTAATTGGTACGATGGGGGAATATGTGTAGTTTCTGAAATTTGGTAACCCTTGTTTTTCATTCTTAGCAGTAAAATGGCTTTGGTAACGTGTATATCTATAGGATAAGATGTGGATGGGTACTATCCCAAAAGACTGCTGCTGTCCTTTGGGAAATAATGACCATTAGACCAGAAAGGTTCCTATGATGTCCCTGGGACCACTAAGCAGCCTGAGGGGGCCACAAGACACGGTTTCTTAATGGATCCATAATAACCCAGTACCAATCTTGGCTCTGAAAAATAACCCTTTTTCACAGCCAAGTCAATGGCATCTCAAGCCTTTTGTATTCTTATCTAGACCCAGAGGCTCAGAGGTGCCATGGATTATAATGGTAAGTATTAGACCATGTCACTAAGGATTTCATAAATGTTAGGAGAAAACATCCTCTGGCCTAAGAGACTTTAATCTTAAAAACAGCATCTAAGGCTGGCCAAGACATTGCAGTCAATCTTCCTCATCCCTTAACCATACACAGTAACTTGTTTTAAATAAGGGAATTAGAGAGTGAGTTCATTTATGCTTGCCTCGGTTTCCCTCTTTCCCCACTTTATTTGACCTTAAAAACAAATCATTCTCACTGGTTCATCGTTACATTATTAAGTTAAGCAACTAGCACAATGATTCAAGAGGAAAAGTAGTTCTCTGCTGAAATAAATATCCCCACCCTGATGAATCTTCAGTTCCCCCTTGGAAAATGCAACCAAAATGCAGCAGGGTGAGGGAATAGCTGATGACATCTGTGAACCACATCCACATCAACAAATTGATAACAGATAAAGGAGAAACTTCAGAGCATTAATAAAACCTCCAAAATTCACTCTATTGCCTCTGCCATACCTTCAAGCTTTTGACAGGTGAACGGAAAGCTGTTAACCAAGAAAGAAAAGCAGCACTGTAATGATTCAAACCCTACCTAAGTCCTGAGAGTTAGGAGAGAGTCTAACAGAGTGCTGTTTGCAGGAAAAATCATGAAAAGTACCTTTAAGTTTCATGAGAAAGCCCTGCCATATACAAGAAAAGGAGCACGAGAAGCTGAAAACTACCCCATCAGTTACTGTATCTTTAACAAAAAAGCTGTTTGCAAAATAACTTGGTTCTTCATATACATCTGGATCTATGGGGGAATTAAAATAATCTCTCTCATCTGGATCTATGGGGGAATTAAAATAATCTCTCTCAAATACAATTATACCTGAATTAATTTTTTAAAGACATTATTTTATTGGCCTGCTAAACACAGCAGCTAAAAATTAAATGTTAAACACACCATATATATGACCTGTTTTAACGATCGTGTGGTAAAAGGAAAACATCCTGATCTGTGATGTTATATTGTAACATCTGTATGCTCACAGATGTGGCTTCTCAGAGGATGTAGTTGTGAATATTGAATTTGCATTTCCTGGGCACTAGGATGTCTGCTTTCTGCAACCATCACAGGCCTACTGAAATCTCCGATAAATCTGAAAGGGCAAAAGGAGAGTCTACCCCAACCCCAATGGAGTGTTAGCCTCCTAACAGCAAATACTAGCAAATCCCCACTTTGTTTCTCTTGGGAGTTCTGTGCATAATCTGTGCAATTTTCTCTTCTAAATAGGTTATCACCAGTCAGTATTGATGTATCACACTGAGTGTCCTTAACATGCTACATACCACCTTTATTATAA